AAGATCTCGGGACGATATCTCTTGTTAGTGAGGGAGTGTTGTGACGCCCCGAGACCGATGCTCTAGTTGCCTTCCATTTGTTTTCATTGTTGCCATGTGTTTCAGTTGTTTGTTATCATGACCATGTTGAGTGCCTTGCCATTTTATCTTCTTGCATCATGTTCGTCATTGGTTATATTGCATTGCCATGCCTCATTAAAACATACATGCATCATACTTAGTTGAGCATCATGTCATGTTATGTGTTGTGTGTACGGTGTTGTTTGCTTCTTTCCGGTGTTGCTTCTTCTTGATAGTTCTTCATGGACTCATTCTTCTTCCTAGCGGGATTTCAGGCAAGATGGCCGTCACCTTGGATCTCACTACTATCATTGCTATGCTAGTTGTCTTGATGCTATCGCTATGTCGCGCTACCTACCACTTGTTTATCAAGCCTCCAAAATCGCCATGATAGCCCCTAACCTTTTCCACCATCCTAGCAAACTCTTGTTTGGCTATGTTACCGCTTTGCTCAGCCCCTCTTATAGCGTTGCTAGTTGCAGGTGCAGTGTAGGTTGTTCCATGTTGGGACATGGATATCTCGGGATATCACAATATCTCTTATTTAATTAATGCATCTATATACTTGGTAAAGGGTGGAAGGCTCGGCCTTTTGCCTGGTGTTTTGTTCCACTCTTGCCGCCCTAGTTTCCGTCATACCAGTGTTATGTTCCTTGATTTTGCGTCCCTAACACGATGAGGGTTTATGGGCCCCTCTTGACAGTTCGCTTTGAATAAAACTCTTCCAGCAAGGCCCAACATTGGTTTTACCATTTGCCTAATAACAAGTAAAACTGGCATAGGGACCGACTAGCACCCGAGGACTCTTAATCAACCCCCGGGCCAATGCTCCTCATGAGTGTTGGTCCAAACCGGGCGATGTCCGGCGTCCCCTGGGCAACCAGGGTCTCAGCCAACCCGACGTCTTGCCCATCCGGTGTACCCTGAGAACGAAATACGTGCGACTCCTATCAGGCTAGGTCGGTGCATCGGGAGGTCTTGCTGGTTTTGTTTTACCATTGTCAAAATGTATTGTGCACCGGAATTCCGAGTCTGATCGGAGGGTCCCGTGATGGAGGATTGTCTCCGCGCATCGTGAACTTGTCATGGGCTAAGTTGGGACACCCCTGCAGGGTTTAAACTTTCGAGAGTCGTGCCCGCGATTATGTGGCAGATGGGAATTTGTTAATATCGGGTTGTAGCGAACTTGAAGTAAACTCAATTAAATACATCAACCGCATGCGTAACCATGACTGTCTCTTTTTGGGTGCGGTCGAGAAGAGAACATGGTTGGGTTATGTTTGAACGTAAGTAGTTCAAGATCACTTATTGATCATTACTAGTTTGCGACCGTTTGCGTAGTTTCTCATCTTACTCTTGTACTCGTAAGTTAGCCACCATAAAATGCTTAGTCGCTGCTGCAACCTCACCACTTTACCCCTTCCTTACCCATTAAGCTTTGCTAGTCTTGATACCCATGGTAATGGGATTGCTGAGTCCTCGTGGCTCATAGATTACTACAACAACAGTTGCAGGTGCAGGTAATGCGATGTTCATGACGTGAGAGTGGTGTTTACTTGTTTTGAAGTTCTCCTTCTTCTTCGTCGATCTTGGGATAGGTTCCTAGTCGGCAGCCTGGGCTAGCAGGGCGGATGTCGTTTGATCTTCTTTTTGTGTTTCATCCGTAGTCGGGTGTTGTTCTCATGTATGACGTTTGATGTATTCATGTGGCATTTGTATGCCTTTGTATGTACCCCCAACTATTATGTAATGGTACAATGTAATGATATCCACCTTGCAAAAGTGTTTCCAATATGCACTTCTATCCTTGGTGGGACCTTCGAGTTCTTTTAGGATAGAGTCGCATATTGGGCGTGACAGAAAGCAAGAGGGAATTAGATCTCAAAGGGTTTGATTGGATAGTTGGATTGGAAAGCCTATTGCACATCTCAGAGGTTCTGACAGGAATTGCTCGGTGGCTCCAAAGTGAACAAAAGTGTCAACTTTCAGATGCATCAGTAGTTCCGAATGAAAATCAATCGGTGTCTCCAAAGAGAGCACTTCAACAGTGGCACTCTATGTTAACGTTGCAGAAGTTCTAGCTTGTATTGCTCGGAATTTCCGATATGATAACAATAAGTTTACCAGGTTGCTTTGATGGCTCTGGATGGAATGTTGGAGGCTTGGATTGAATATGGTTTGTCCATCGATTATATCTTGATGATTAAGTGGTTTCGAGTGGAAGTGCTTCAACAACACTGAGATGAATGGCACTAGGTCTACAGTGGAAACTTTGAAGGATTTTGACAAGCTTTTCGAGTTTCATCTTTAAGCACATGGAGCAAAAGGCTCATTACCACATCCTCGTCCCCTTTTGGTAGTAGTGGCATGCCTATGGACGCAATGTGATACTGGATCACTAAAATGAAAATGTATTCCATTTGGAGGGAAACCTTTCAGTTCCAAGTTTGGAGGAGAGAAGGGCATTTGACCATGTCAAAACCTTTTCCAAAGTTTGTTTTAAAAGGACGCCATAGACTCTTTTTTCTATCCAGTTTTTTTAGTGTTTCATGGGAAATCAGTATCCCCTCAAATTTGTATCTCCCTTTTAGGAAGGTTGTTTGAGAACATCTAATTTCCCCCTTTATGACTGCAATCAGTGTTTAACCATGACCTTGGTGATTATCTCAAAGACAAGATTCAAGAGACATATTGGCCTATACTTTTGAATTCTTTCAATATCACCGTCCTTTGGTATCGGTGTGATAACACCATAGTCAAGTCTATCAATATCCATCTCATTATCATAGAGATGTTCTATCAAGGCAAACATGACAATCTTGATGATTTCCCAGAATTTCTGGTAAAACTCAATATTAAACTCATCTGGCCTAGTTGTTTTGATAGATTCCATGCTAAAAACTTTTGTCTGCAGTTCTTCCATAGAAAAACTTATAGTTAAAAAAGCTTGCTCTTCTCTAGTCAACTATTCTACTCCAACATGGTTCGTAGTTACGGAAGAAAACTCGTGCTCACCGAACATGTTGTTATAAAAATTGGTGATGTATAGCTTAAGGGTTTTCAGTCCTTGAATCAACACATCATCTTGTTGCAATTTCCGATAGTAATTTTCCTATGTCTGCCATTTGCCTTTGCATGATCATATTTGGTGTTTGCATATCCATCATGAAATTCTCTCTCATGTGAGTTTTGAAGCCATTTCGTCTTGTTTGTGAGTCAGGATCATGCCTAGCTCGCCCCGCGGCAGCCCAAAAACCTTATTTTATTCGTCTTCTTTTTGACCACCTTATCCACCTTGTGCGTGCTCACCTCCTTCTACTCGTCAGTGTTGGGGCCACCGTTAAGTATATATCAACCATCGCCTCCCACTCCTCCTCGGATGAAATCGAGCTCGACATTGTGATGATGTAATATCCTGCGATCTACTGTAGGAGAAAACCAGACACTATCACAAAAATTTATATCACTGTGCCACGGACAGAGACCTTCTTGAACGCGTTGACCATAACACAATTTTTAGAGTGCACCTACTCTTTATTAGCTCATGATAGTTTGATGAATACAAATTTCCTTGGCCAAATATTACGACCAACTGAAGGTACGAAGCGCTACGAGCTAGGTTATGAGCATATTTTTTGACTTCATGTTCTCATGCACGAAATGGACTTCCCGAAAAGCCTTATCCCTCCCTTGTATCTCCATAAAAATGTGTCCATACAAAATCGATGACGATGCCTGAAGAATCGTCACAACAACCCGACAATCTCTTGCAACTGTGATGTTATGTAATAGGGGATATTCTACTACAACGCCTCTCAACATGCCAATGCTTTGAGGGTTTACAGATAGGACAATATCTCGAAGAATAGTGTAGATGCTCCCAAGAAGACACCGTTGTCATTTCTTGCCATTGCCACCAGCAAACCAACACACATATTCTTATATATCCCTGCGCCGACATTGATCTTCGCAGTTCCTGGTCTTGGTGCAGTTCCATCTAGGATGACCACAACATGATTTGGCCCATAGGAATTTCGGTGAAGAAGCTCGGTTTTGTGCTTGATGCATGAAGCACAGTTTGTTCAAGTGCATAGCCCAATGCATATAACGTCGATTGGGGAACCAGCACCCATGAGGATGGTTGTTGAGCCACTGTCCATTAGCGTCGCTCTCGCTACTTTGCTCGTGTGGTTTAGCTTGCTAGCTAAAAAAATAGCTCTTGGCTTTTTGGTAGATTTTAAAAAGTCTACAAATTCAAATAAAATATTCCCGAGTTTGAAAAGTTCAAAAATTTAAAAGTGTTCACAAATTCAAATAAAATGTTCCCAAGTTTGAAAAGTTCAAAAATTTAAAAGTGTTCACAAATTCAAAAAAATCATGAATTAAGAAAACTTCAAGAATTTTAAAAATCTCACAAACTAAAAAAATGTTCACAATCTCAATAAAAAATGTCAATTAAAAAATGTTGACGAATTAGAAAAAACGAATTTGGAAAAATTTCACCGCTTTGAAAAATGTTCACGATTCTTTTTAAAAGTGCATGGAATTTTAAATTCAAATTTAAAACGAAAATAAAAAAATGAACAAAACCTGCCCAAAAAAGAAGAAGAAACCGGTTCTTCACAAAACCATAGCGAGCCTTCCGAGCCCGCGATACAGATGGTCCAGCCCACTAGCTGTCTTTTTGCGAAAACAGTACTAGAACCGGCGCTCCCCGGGCCGAAGGCAGCACGTCTCGCGTGTTGCTCAAAAAAAAAAGGCAGCACGTCGCGTGGGTAAGGAATTTCTTCGCGTGCACCCGAACGGGAAGTACATAATTCCAAAAAGACCCTCCCCCGGGCCAACCCCACGCCATTACTCCCGTCCAACGCTAGTCCAAGCTCCACACGATTTCCCCAACCGGAGACTCGGACAGACAGGGTCGCCCAGATCGGAGGCATATGGCGGCGGCAGCGGGAGCGGCGACCCGGCCGGCGCTGGTGGTGAGGGCGCTCGTGGCGGCGCTGATGATGCTGGGCTCGGAGGCGGTGTGGCTCGACCTGCCCCCCACGGGAACCAAGTGCGTCTCCGAGGAGATCCAGCCCAACGTGGTGGTGGTCGCGGACTACATGCTCATGTACGAGGCCCACGCCACCGCCCACCCCACCGTCGCCGTCAAGGTAAGCGCGGCGCGATCCCCTCCCCTCGTCTTCGCGTGCTTGCTTTTCTGGTTCCAGCGGTTTGATCTTGATCTGGACGGGTGAACTCTCGCGTGTTGGGGTCCAGGCGTAGGCGGATTTGGACGCGACAGATACTAGCTTGTTCTAATTATTTGTGTTGTTAAGTTTAGTTGGTGGATTGAACTTTTTGAGTCAAAATCAGAGCCTCTGTGCCAATTGAATTTGGGCGTTTTTAGAAGAATTGAGAGAATAGAAGAGAAAGCCGACCAGTTTAAGTTAACATTTCCTAGAGAAGTCAACAGGCAAAAGTTTTACATTTAGTGTAATTTGGTGCATAGGGTCTGTGTTATGTGGATTATGGTAAGGTTAAATGCTGTTAATCCAGTAGTTTGTGATGAATTTGCTCATTTGCTCCAGTGCTTTGTTCTGGAGGAACCAGCTGAGGTTTGACCCGTTGAGCTAGACTGGGTGGACTTGATGCGAATTGACTCAAAGTGTCACTTCCTAATTGCTTCACATCGGGGCAACATGTTGTGGATTGATAATTTCTATGCATGTAGCAATATCCTAAGTAACGTAACCTGCAGCTGCAGGACAACCTTCTCTTTGGGCACCTGGCATCCTATTATTAGAATAGCATGGTCGTAGGCACTGTTCAAGAAGGCGCTATTAGGCGCTCGCCTAGGCGCGCTTAAGCGCTGGGAGTTGGCATAGCGCCTCGCTTTGGCCCTAGGCGCTCAAAAAAGCGGCCGGCGAGGTCCTCCGGCGAGAAATCAGCCTCTCCGGCGAGGAATCAGCTTTCTGAGGTGAGAAATCAGTCTCCCCGGCGAGGATTCATCCTCGCCGACGAGGGATTCAAGTGCCCCGACGACAAATCGAGCTTCTCCGGCGAGGGATTGAGCTTCTCCGGCGAGGGATCGAGCTTCTCCGACAAGGGACAGAGGAAGAGGGAGGGAGGCAGCCTCGTGCAACGAGACAGAAAGGACGAGGGGGGGAGGCGGCGTGAGGAGGAAACCTAAATTTCCTATCGACTGCAGCAGACGAGAGCTTTTAGTAGGAGGATATGAAGATGGGCCTATGGTTTAGTGGGCTAGCCCAGCCCATCTAGCTTATTTCTTCACGTTACAGTACTAACGCCTAATTGCGCCTAATTTCGCCTAATCACGCCTAAGCTAGAAAAGCGCAAGTAGGTGCCCAAACGCATAATTAGCGCCTAGCGCTTTTTTGAACTTTGGTCGTAGGTACTGAGACTAATTAAAGATGATTGGGGTTAACCATAACAAGAGAAAACAAGCGAGGGGTGGATTGTTATTCATTATCACTGCCATGGATGGGCTGATGAGATTCTGGTAAGATGCAATCATGTTTGCATGTGGGCATACGGGTGAACACACAGGAGATGACATACTGTCCCACTTCTCATCCATTATATTGTAGATAAGGAGAACTTCAGATTTCAGACTCATGATGTGTTTTGCGCAATACAGGGATTCAGAGATTCATGATACATGTGTATTGTAGCTCATAACTGGAAAAAGTACCGGTAACTGGGATTAGCCACACGTTCACAACTTTGTCGTTAATATGTCCAAGAATTCTGCAAGCAACACATGGATGTTGTATTGTACTTTTGTGGTGACTATGTTTTCTAATGTAAAACTTTTGCGGTGGCTAAATGGTGCTTTGGAATGCTAAGTGTGTATGAGTATGCTAACCTTTTTTGCTAGTGATCACACGCATAATTAGCATAGCATCTACATATATCAGTTAGTCTTATGGAAGATTTCTTAGAAATGATGATTTCTGAAGACTATTTTTTTTCTTGCTTACTAGCTCATTTGTATTGTCCATGTTTGTGTTTTGTGTAGGTTACCTCACCATATGGCAATACTGTACATCAGAAAGAAAATGCCACAGTGGGCCAATTTGCATTTACAACTTCAGAAGCTGGAAACTACCTTGCTTGCTTCTGGCTAGACAGCGCAGAGAAAGGATCAGGAGTATCTCTGAATCTTGATTGGAAGATAGGGATTGCGACAAAGGACTGGGACTCTGTTGCCAAGAAGGAGAAAATTGAGGTGTGTCAATTATTTAAATGCACCTAATCCAAATGGCACTTTACTTCAATGTAATGCATTGTTTTTTGTTCCTGATTATTTCTAATCTGAAATTTTTATGTGTTCAGGGTGTTGAATTAGAGCTCGCGAAACTTGAAGCTGCAGTGGAATCTATTCATCATAACTTATTATATCTCAAAGCAAGGCAAGTTATCTATTCTGCAGTGGAGTATGTGTTTTAATAGCCAGATAATAGACTGCGGTTCTTATGCTATGCTGCGCCAGGTGTTCTGTAGTCTGTACTATTTCCAGTTGGATGTTTTATGTATGTAAATAAATATGCTTTCAACGAAATGATTTACAGAAAAATTGGTGACTGTAAAGCTAAAACATTGTGAAACAGAACCTACTGGTCTCATCTTCATCTGTCTTAGGAAAGTGTTATATTGAACTGCTATTTGAAACTCTTAGGTGGTCACTGTTTTTGTACTGGATGAGATATTTGGGACATAGACAAACAGAACTACTAGCTTTACTTACATTTTGAACGGGCAATGCATGACATAATGCGTGATCTTGATATGTTTATGCAGGGAAGCGGAGATGCGGGAAGTGAGTGAGAAAACAAATTCTAGGGTTGCGTGGTTCAGCATCTTGTCTCTGGGCGTGTGCGTTGTGGTCTCCGCTCTGCAGTTATGGCATTTGCAAGGCTTCTTCCAGAAGAAGAAACTCATCTGAATTCACTCGTTTCACCATGTACTCCTGTGTTGTTAACTACCTTAGCAAGAGGACAGTTTTGTCGTATTTATTTCGACAAACTCATGTGGTGGACAAAAAAATTCCCTGGTACAAGATACATGATTTCAATAGCAAGCAGTTCCTTGGTGGTTGGTGCTTGATACATGATATTATGTGCAATAGAAATATTTTCAAATCTACTACTTTGGGATTATTTGGCCTTTGTGTATGACATACTCCGTCCGTAAAGAAATATAAGAGCATTTAGATCACTAAAGTCTAAACGCTCTTATATTTCTTTACAGAGGGAGTAGTATATAAATTGTGAAATTTTGTGCTTGTCTCAGCTGAATTTCTTTTGGTACCAGGGTCATTCCCTTATACAAGGCCACAAACTCCATCCATTCCCTTATACAAGGTCACAAACTTAGATTACATGTATCAAGGTAAAGTTTAATGACTGCTTTACAAGCCAACTTTTCTTTTTGTTAACTGGGGTCTGCATGCAAGGAAGGAACGAGACGGAAGTAGTACAATGTCATTATGACTACAATTGTTAATGGCCTTGTATAGATGAAAATGTATTATTTTTTTCATGCTGACCTTGTATAACGGAATGGAGGGAGTACTCCTAGTATTGAAATTTATACCATCTATTTTCTTAGAGCACTTGATTTGGAGGCTGTACTAGGCTTGGCTGGGCCACTTAATCTTTGGTAACAGGTCGTGCCATGTCAGACACAGACAGTGGGGCTTCCCTAAGGCTGGTCATAGTGGAGAGTATCATATACTTGTGTATGATACTACATCCATTGTGCATAATATCATATGTATTAGTATCATAGATGGTCTCATTTATTGCCATGCATAACACATGGTAGCATAACATTTATTATGTTACGGTATCTACCTATGTTACTATAACCATCTCTCTTCTTTAATTGCCTATCACATAAGCATGTTTGCGAGTCTCAATTGCATGATACTACTTAGGGCATGGCCAACTTTCCAGGCTGGATAGCTGCTCCAGCACTCCACGTAGGATTGGATGGTCCAGTTTGCCAAAAGGTATGGCTTGCAGACACAAGCGGGATCCTACAGAGGAGGCCGCTTCCTCAACTGCCAAAAGTCACAGGACCACGCCAGCGCTCGCCTGCGAAATAGTTGGAGGGCGCCTTGGCTCCTCTCATCTTACAGTTGCGATCTGATAAAGTGAAATAGAGGACCTTGGCTCTTGTTATACCTGTGGTAAATGTTCAAACGGTGGTCTTATAGCTACAAATCTATGTGGATAGGATGAGACCACCTGTCGGGGGGATGAACCCCGGGCAGGCAACGAAACCCGGATCCTTTTCAAAAACAGCGGGGCAATCATCGTCCCGCGAACCGGCACGCGCCTGGCCGGGTCGCTCGACCCGGCAAGGCCCGCAACCCGGCCGACCCGGCAAGGTACGTCGACCCGGCCGCAGCGACTGGTGCAAGACGACTCAACCCGACGCAACCAAGGCTTCCCCAACAAGCCAACCCCACCCGTGGCGTCCAGGCAACCCAGCCACGGGTCAGCTCCCGTCCCATCCAGGCCGTACGATGGGACGAGGCCTCAACTACCGATGACCAAGACAACAGTGTTTCCACCCATGCCTATGGTCAGCCGGAGCGTGGCAACAGTTCCCCTTACCTACCCACTGACCAGGGCTGGCGTGGCAACAGTGCTCCCGCCCTCACCGCGGATGACAGCAAGCGGCAGCCTGACGGAGAGCACTGTACACGACTCGACTCGGCCACGCCCTGACGATCGACAAGACGGCGCACAGTCCCCTAGGCACGCGAGGCCCGCACCTAAGGGAACCCGGCGAACCACAAGCCCTCAAGCGGGACCCAGCCCGGTATCCCAGACACCGACAACACGGACCCACCGACTCGGCGTATTACCATTGTAACCCTGGGCGGGTTGATCTATAAAACCCCCGAGACATATGCATATGTATGAGACACAAGGAAAACACAAGCAAGCATAGGACTAGCCACCAGAGCCGCAACACCGGAGAGAAGGAGCAGCCCAAGCCTTGGCCAGCTTCCTTCTTCCTCCATACAGCTCTGGGAGCAACATTGTACTATCGATCATCCAACTACACTCGGCAGGACTAGGGGTATTATCTTTCCGGAGAGCCCCGAACCTGGGTATGTCCGGCGTCCCGTGCCCGCGCATGCCAACCTTGCCTCTGGAGCCCACCAGCGCCCTCGGGCCTCCTCCTCTCTTTAGCCATCCCTTGGCATCTGTCGTGCGCCCACCACGACAGTTGGTGCCCACCGTGGGGCAGCTCGAGGAGCTGGCCAGGAGCATGCTTCAGACGGGGCCTTTCTCCTACATCAACGAGTCCATCGCGCTGGTGGACGACGTTGTCGGCGCGCTTGCCGCCTCCTTCGCCGTGCTGCGCATCTCCGATGCATGCGCGGCCGACGAGTACCGCAGTGAGGTGCTCAGCTACTCCGACTCTCCTCTCCCTCAGTGGTGGCATTGTCACCGGGGCGATGGACGTACATGTGGAGGTTTATGTCACCGGCGATGGCGCCTCCTCCTCGTCGAGCAAGACGAGGAAGGCCGCGGAAGCCAGGGCCACTACGGAACGGACCAGGCCGTTCGATCTGGTACGCACTACGATGCAGAGCCTCCGCATCTCCATCGGCACCGACGTCGACGCCACCAATGTTGCCGAGGTGCGAACCCAGCTCGAGGAAAGGCGCCAGCAGATGCTGGACCTGTCCGAGACGCTCGCCGCCACCAGGCGTCGCCTGGAGGCCGCTCAGATGGAGCACGACGCCGCCCACGGTGAGCCCACCGCAGTTGAGCCAAGCCGGGTCGCCGATGTGCGTACCCGGGAAGGAGCGATTGGCTGGGCCCTCGGCGCCGTCCGAACCGTCTACGAGACCCCAGTGAAGAACATGCGCGCTGCGGAGGCAGCCGTGGTCGGCCTCGACCAACTCACGTGCGAGGAGCTTAAAGAGCGCATCGGGCGGATGCGCGAGCTCCTCCACGCCGCCAACACCCAGTAGGATCGCCTCAACCAGCTCGCGAAGCCGGCGGGGTCCGGCTCCGCCCGCCTTGGCGGACCCGGCGAACTTCTGCACACGGCTTCCTCGCCGCCCGGCGAGGCGCACTCCGGCCAAGCCCGGACCCGGTGCAACCCGGCCGCCACCGTCGTCGACGTTCTGGGCAACGAGCCCGCCCCGGAGACCCAGCGCGGACCCGGCCAGCATGGCTGGTGTCGGTGTCAAAACCGGCGGATCTCGGGTAGGGGGTCCCAAACTGTGCGTCTAGGTGGATGGTAACAGGAGACAAGGGACACGATGTTTTACCCAGGTTCGGGCCCTCTTGATGGAGGTAAAACCCTACGTCCTGCTTGATTAATATTGATGATGTGTGTTACAAGAGTAGATCTACCACGAGATCAAGGAGGCTAAACCCTAGAAGCTAGCCTATGGTATGATTGTTGTTCGTCCTATGGACTAAAGCCATCCGGTTTATATAGACACCGGAGAGGGCTAGGGTTACACAGAGTCGGTTACAATGGTAGGAGATCTACATATCCGTATCGCCAAGCTTGCCTTCCACGCCAAGGAAAGTCCCATCCGGACACGGGACGAAGTCTTCAATCTTGTATCTTCATAGTCTTGGAGTTCGGCCGATGATGATAGTTCGGCTATTCGGACACCCCCTAGTCCAGGACTCCCTCAGCTGGCGTCCGGCTCCAACCGACCCGGCCCCTCGGGGCCTGGCCGCCAGTTGACTCGGCCCGCGTGCCATCAACGACGCCGACGCGCGCCACTGCCTCGATCAACTCACTCGCTTCCTGGAGGTGGAGGAGAGCGGCGCTATCGGGCCAGCGTGCTTCAGCCCACGCATCCGGGAGGAGCCCTTTCCCAAAGGGTTCGTGCTCCCCCGCGACACCCCCAAGTACAACGTGACTGTGAAGCCAGAAGACTGGCTCACCGACTATACCACGGCCATTGGACCGGTGCCAATCGTCGTCTAGCCGTGCGCTACGCACCGCTCATGTTCTAGGGGTCGGCCCGCACGTGGTTGAACAGTCTGCCGATGGGCAGCATCAACGCGTGGGTCGACTTCGAGGAGGCCTTTGTCCGCAACTTCATGGGGACCTACAAGCGACCCGGTCGCCCTAGCCAGCTCGCCATGTGCGTGCAGGGGCCGACAAAGACCGGTCGCGAGTACCTCGCGCGCTGGACCGAGCTCCAAAACAGCTGCGAGGGCGTCCATGAAGTCCAGGCGATCCAGTACTTCGTCAACGGGTGCCGAGATGACACCCTCCTCAAGCACAAGCTCTTACGCTCCGAGCCGGCCACCATGGCCGCGCTCATGATGACGGCGGACAAGTACGCCAACACCGACTCCGCCATGAAGATCCAGGTGGCGCTGGATGAAGCCGGCAACGCGAAGCCAGTTCCTCTCCCGAAGCCGGACGGTGAAAGCAGCCGGCAGCAGCATCACCAGAGCAACAAGCGCAAGGCCGACCATCCGGCGCAGCGTCACGACAACCGGCTCATCGCGGCCGCCGAGCCCGCGACGGACCCGGCGGCAAAGCGGCGGCAGACCGGCAAGATGGCGTGGCAACCTGCCATGAGTTTCGAAGAGATGCTCGACGCCCCATGCAAGCACCACAGTGGCTCAAGACCCTCCACGCACACGCTTCGGCAGTGCACCATCACCAAGCACATCATGAGGGGAGATGTCCCGCCTCCTCCGGCTCCGGCTCCAGCTCCAGGCGCAGGACAGCCGCCTCTGCCTCCACCGCCGCCTCCTGTTGGCGGCGCGATGTGGAATGACGCCTACCCGGACCAGAACGCGGCCTACGTCGTCTTCACCAGCCTCGGCGACAACAAGCGCAACGAGCGCCTTCTTCGGCAGGAGGTGAACACCGTCTTCCCGGCCAAGCCGAGTTTCATGCACTGGTCGGATTGCCCGATCACCTGGACCTGGGAGG